CAAAGTGTTTATCTAAAGTGAAATAACCATGCAAACACTGACAAACTGTATTCATGCTGATATGCAGAAAGAGTTCCATCACTGAGCAGAGCTTCACAAGAAAAAATTGAGAATTTACCATTTTAAAGTATTTCTAAACCGTTGCATCTTTACATTAGCAAGCAAAAACCATTTAAATGTTGTTGACACAATGCTGCAATAACTAAAAGCATACTATACACCAGTAGGTTTTAGAACAAACTTTCATATGAAAAATGTCATCAGAACATGCGATAATGCCATTAGAGAATTGTAGAATGTTGTTCAAAATTTTATTTGATATTAACATTCGCTTTTGGAAGGAATACGTTTCTCCAACAAAAACCATATTCACTGTAAGAATTTTGCTTGTTCAAAAAAAACTTTACAACTTTACAAACTTTATAAATATGGGTTATATTATATATCTACGTTCCCCCTTTTTTATTGTAAATTAATGCAGTTGGATTTAATGTAAATTTATTCAAGTGCTCTATTGTTTATTAATATGTTTTATGAATATGTCTGGAGATCATTATTGATAGAAGGAAGGACTAGTTTTATCATATGCATTTTAGATGATATGATTTATCAGGGACATATAATTAAAACCTAACATTCAGTGTGATTTCATATAGCGGTCCCGGGATATAGATGGATTGGCTACCTTGTTTTTAGTTACAGGTCACGTCTCTGAGTATAGCCACATTTGATTTACATTGTTGAGCTCCACACGACCGCTCAGATCTCTGTGACCAGGGTAGAGACATTTCTGCGGCTGTACTATGTCCAAGGAATAGGCAGAGTCTAGTATCACCTGTGTTTATTGTTTTTATGGATACCATTGTCAATGTTGGTGCTAGCGGTTCTCGTTGCCCCTTACACCTGACATTTACAGATGTAATGCAAGTAGGGTGGAGCCTAGGAGTACACTGAATGATTGGCAAAGCTGCAGCAAGTATGTTATGTATCCGGATCCGACTGTTTAAGCTGGTCTATGTGTGCAATATTTTAACATTTTTATAGGAGTATAAATTCTTATTAAGCTTTTGTTGCAGAAGCTTGCACGCATGGGATTGTACAATAGAATTGGACATTGGTACACTATGAGTAATTGATGAGCATTCTTTCTGTTATAAAGAATTTATTACTATTTGTGACACTTTGTGCAACTTATATAACACTTTTGAATATGTCAGACAGTGACATGTTTATTTTTATTTAGAAAATAAACATGAAACACGGGGTTTTATCATGAGCGGTGGAAAAAAATCTGAGCTGTTTACTGTATTATATTGTCATTAAAATGGTAAGGAATACGATCAAATAAAATAGTAAGTATTATTATGGTGAATCAA